GGAGAACTTTTCTTGCAAGTTCTTACCTCCAGTTCTTTCCTCTCACTTTTGTAAATCCCCAGTCCAAGCTCATCTCTCTCTCAATTGTACATTGTTTTCCTCTTTCATCATTCTCCGTGTTCAGCAGACATCCCTTCTCCACCCAGTCTTTGAACTTCCTCTTTTCTACTATAGAAACTATGGAAAGTAATAAATACAGAAGGCAAGCAAGGGGAATCAAAAGGCTAAGGAGGTTAGTAGAAACTAGAAAAGTGACAGAGAAAAGGGAAGAGGGCTAAGAATTACAGCAGGAAAATGACAGCTGGTTGCTCATGTTACCAACCTTGATGATCTCTTCCAGCTCATCCATCTTGTTAACTCAGAAATAATGCTGCACTTCTAGAAACTCACCTCAATCTCAGCAATCACCTTTGACTTGCCAAAGTTGACATTGGATTCGGTCTAGTTCTTATAAGAGGAGATTACGCTCTCTTAGAAAAGACTCATATGGAATATTTATTTAAATCGTAGAAAAAAATACCCACTAAGGATCACTAGCTATTTGAGGAAAATATCTTTTATAAAATACAGAGACCAAAGCAAACAAACACAAAAAAGCAGTTCAGCAGTGTGAGCTGTGTAGTTTTTGTCACTAATGTCCCCAAGCAGATAAGAGAGGATATTGTGCCCTTGAAAGCAGAAAAATGTTATTAAAAGAATCATTTGAAAAACAAAAAGATATTCTTGAAAATTAAAAATATAATATAAACAATTTTAATGGATACTTAAGAAATTAAGTTGAAGAAGTTCTCAGAATATAATGCAAAAAACCTATATAATCAGAAATATGGGAGAAAAGATTAAAAAATTAAAGAATAATTCCAGAATGTTCAACATCCCAAAAGAAAGAGTTCTAGAAACAGAACATTGAAAGCAGGAAAGAAAATAATAGAGAAACAGGGCAAGAATTTTTTCAGAAATGAAGGACCCATTTTCTTTCTAGCCTAAATGGACACTTGCTGAGTGCCCAGTACTATGGAGGAAGAGACCCCTTCAATAAATAATCATGTAATTTTAGAACACCAGGGACAAAGAGACTATCTAGAATCAAAATTGCATTGTCCTCAATAGCAGCCCCCAAAACTAGACTCCAATAGAGCAAGGCCTTCAAAATTATCGTCAATCTAGAATTCTGTACCCAGTCAAACTATCAATTAAGTTTAGAGGTAGGACAAAGGCAGTTTTAGACTTACAACTCCTTTAAAAATGTCCCTCCTTTGTGTGCTTTCTCAGTCAACTACTGGAAGATGTGCTGTACTAGGACAAAGAAGTCAACTAAGAAAGAGGAAGATCTGGGATACAGAAAACAAGGACCCAATACAAAAGCAAAATAAAGTAATTTATTGGAATTATACTAAAAGGAAGATTCAAAACCAACATACGTGCGTGATATCTAGACAGCAGCTGATCCAGATTAGCAGATCGGAAGGCTATAGAAGAGATTCTTCAAGAAACTAAAATTGAAAAAAACCCTGCATAATATGTTGAATATATTAAAGTAAGATTTACATGGATAGGGAAGAGAGTTTGAGCAAAACGAAGAGAATTTTTAACGTCTTGGTTTCAGGTCATAGGAAAGCTATACCAGAAAAGACACTACAGTCTACTGCATGTCTTAGCCGTCATGAACACTTGCATTGTCGTAATGTTCACAGAAAATAGTTATCTAAAAAAGTCATGACATGACAATACTGGAGCCATAAGGGACCATGAAGTGTGCTTGTGGGTGTCTTTGTGGGTGTGTATGTAAGAAAGGTGGGAAAGTGTGGAGGTGTGGCTGTGGGAGGGAGCGACATCCTCAACTTTCATCATAGGAGTCTGTAGGTGAGGCCAAATGGGAAAAATCGAGAAATAGCAGTAAACCCAAAGGTATGCAGGTATAAGATTTGAAATGATAAAGCAACCTGCTAAAGTAGTTAAGTAGAAATTTATTTTCCCTGGAGACCAGGACATGGAGAAAACCAACTGAAATAAGTGGGCCCTGAATCACTGGTCAGGTGAGCACAAAGGCGGAAACAACAGACCTTTGACTTGCCAAAGTCAACATTGGATTCAGTCTAGTTCTTTTTTTTCTTTTTTTTTGAGTTGGAGTCTCACTCAGTCGCCCAGACTGGAGTGCAGTGGCCGCTCCCGGCCACCGCAGCCTCGACCTGCTGGGCTCCGGCGATTCTTCCGTCTCAGCCTTCTGAGTAGCTGGAACTACAGGTGCGCGTTACCACGCCCAGCTACTTTTTTGATTTTTATTGTAGAGATGAGGTCTTGCCAAGTTGCCCAGGCGGGTCTCGAACCTGCGGGGTCAGGCAATCCACTCACCTCGGCCTCCCAAAGCGCGGGATTACAGGCTGAGCCACCGAGCCTGGCCCAGTCTAGTTCTTATAAGGGGAAATTTTGTTCTCTTAGAAAAGATTCATAGGAATATTTATTTAAAAAGTAGAAAAGAATACCTACTAAGGCTCACTAGCTGTTTGAGGAAAATATCTTATGTAAAATACAGAGACCAAAGCAACAGACACTGGAAACTGCTGGAGGTGGGAGGGATGGGGGAGGAGAAGAAGCAGACAGCCACACACTGAGTACCAGCTGGGAGAGAGGTCCCACCAGCCAGCCAAACTGTACCTGCACACAACTTACTCGTGTAGCAAATCCTCACATGTCCCTCACAACTCTAAAATAGAAAAAGTAGGACTTTAATAAATTAAAAGTGGAGTTAAAAACAACATGATAGCTACACAGGACAAAATAGTTTCAGAAGCCATTCCCTTATTATTAATAAAAGTTGTGCCGGGCTTGGTGGCTCAGCCTGTAATCCCGCGCCTTTGGGAGGCTGAGGTGAGTGGATTGCCTGAGCCCGTGGGTTCGAGACCCGCCTGGGCAGCGAGACCTCATCTCTACAATAAATCAAAAAATCAGCCGGGCGTGGTAGCACATGCCTGTAATTCCGGCTACTCGGAAGGCTGAGGCGGAAGCATCGCCGGAGCCCAGCAGGTCGAGGCTGCGGTGGCTGGGAGCGGCCACTGCCCTCCAGCCTGGGTGACAGAGTGAGACTCCAACTCAAAAAAAAAAAAGTTGTGTATATAGTATCTAAGGGCTAATTTTAGAAATTATCCTATTGTGTTTCCACTCCCTGAATCTGGGGGAGGTGGATCACCCTTTTCTCTCTCTCTCTAATGTACTTTCTAAATAAACCGTATTTTCCAATCTAAAAAAAAAGACATTATCATATTGTACATCTAGATATTCGCCCTGCATGTCAATTTCCAAAATTTTTCAAAGTTATCTCTTTAATAAAACACCAGTTTGGTTGGTTTTGGAGAGGTTTTGGATAGCTAAAGGAATCACTGTCGAATGAAAATCCATGACAAAAATCTGTGGATATGGCAGCATACACTTCAAGCTCCTTGGGGAACCCAAACCTGTTTATGAGTTGCTGAAATTTTGCTAACTTCTGTTGCTGGGCCTCGCTGCCATGGACGCCCTCTCTGAGCATTTGGTATCAGGATTGTTAAGAGCCAGTAGGGAAGGTAACTTAGACTCTCTAGAAGAGACCACGCAAGAGGGTATGATGGCTTCTAGGGTCCTTGGACTCACTTATTGTGCTCTTCATACTGGGGACTTGGTGATGGCTTTTGAAGAGGGACAACCCTTTGAGCATTTGTACAGATGACAGGAGACTATCTTACCTTCTTTCTTTTTCGCCTGTCCCGTCACCGGGCCCTTTCCCGATTCTTCAGAAACTTTCCCTCTTTGGGTTGCCAGTTAGTGAGAGTCATAAGAGTGACCCCCAAATCGTACTGAGGGCTCAAAAAGACCTTGAGACATAAATCTATCTATCAATAAGGAAAGAAATCCCCATGACAACATTTTGATCAGAGGAAGAATCACTTTCCCTTCTCATCACGGATTGAAGGCCGACATTGAAGACTGGCCACTGCTTGGACCCACTGCCCCCATCCCGGAAGTATTCCTCCCTCCTGGCAGTTTCATCACAGTTTTCCAAGTTTGCAAGTGATTTTTAGGACAGCAGAGTCCAGGCGTTTATAAATGAAACCTATGCTCTAGCAACTAGCTGGTCCCTTTACTGGAGAAAGCTTTCTGTCTGCACCCAACACCTCTCTCACCCTCCCAAGACATGCTCTTACCAGGCTCCTACTCTTCCTTCCATTTTTAAGCATGTCTTTGTCTCTCTGGATCAGACATCTGTTCTGTAGGCTTATCATGATAGTTAGACAGCGGAGAACAAAGCAGACTTGAAGGGTAGAACAATATCTGCTGTTTTCCACCATTGGCTTTCCTGGGCCTAATATAGTGCCTGGTCCTAGCATTGTATGGACTCAATAAACATGTGTTGACTTGAGTGAATTTGCTCTGTCTCTACTTTTTAAAAATAGTTCCACACTCTATATCATATTGGTGACTGATTATGGATAGAAGAGTGCATCTTTCTTTTTTTCATTGCATCATGTTTTCTTTTTTTTTTTTAAAGTAAATTAAATTAAATTTTAAAGATGTGGGGTATAATTCAGGATTAGGTAGATGAGTGGTCATCATACAGGCAAAGTTTGGGCCTCCCTTTGGTCCCCATTTCACCTGGTTTCAGATCAAGTACTCCTATTGATGTTTTGCGTCCGAGTGCATCTTTCTTAGATCTATACTATCTTTGGTTGAGAAACATATATTAACTTCTATGTGAACGGCACAGAGAGGTTTTGACAAATGCCAGAGTCTCCCTCCCAAATTGGAATGTTCAAATCTGCAAAGGGCTTGGCTTTTTTCAATGTGAAGTTCTTGGAACCCATTAACAAATAAATGCGTCTTTATTTTATAATACAGTAGTTGTAGAGATGATGAGGGCAGCATCTAATAGACTTGAGAATTGCATTAGATGAATGGCAGGTCATTTGCCACACTAAAATGCTCTTAATATGATTTGTTCACAATCTTCCTGTTTTATTGCAGCCGGGGCACTGACAACAGACTGGCCCACCGGCGGCAGACGGTTCTCCGTGAGAAGGGGAGAAGGTTAGCTAATCGGGGACCGGCATACATGTTTAATGATCGCTCCACAAGCCTGTCCATAGAGGAGGAACGCTTTCTAGATGCAGCCGAATATGGCAACATCCCGGTGGTGCGGAAGATGTTAGAAGAATGCGTCTCGCTCAACGTTAACTGTGTGGATTACATGGGTCAGAACGCCCTGCAATTGGCAGTGGCCAACGAGCATCTGGAAATAACCGAACTTCTTCTCAAGAAGGAAAACCTCTCTCGTGTTGGGGATGCTTTGCTCCTAGCTATTAGTAAGGGTTATGTGCGGATCGTGGAAGCGATTCTCAACCATCCAGCTTTTGCTGAAGGCAAGAGGTTGGCCACCAGCCCTAGCCAGTCTGAACTCCAGCAAGATGATTTTTATGCCTATGATGAGGACGGGACACGGTTCTCCCACGATGTGACTCCGATCATTCTGGCTGCCCACTGCCAGGAATACGAAATCGTGCACACCCTCTTGCGGAAGGGTGCCAGGATTGAACGGCCTCACGATTATTTCTGCAAATGTAGCGAGTGCAACCAGAAACAGAAACATGACTCTTTCAGCCACTCCAGATCTAGGATTAATGCCTATAAAGGTCTGGCAAGTCCGGCTTACCTGTCATTGTCTAGCCAGGATCCAGTCATGACGGCTTTAGAACTTAGCAATGAGCTGGCAGTGCTGGCCAATATTGAGAAAGAGTTCAAGGTAGGTCGTTAACAGTAGGGACTTCCTCCACCGCCCCCTGCACAAGTCAGAGTCAAGGTGTAAGCTTTCATAGTGTGTGCAGCACCATGCTAGTGACTGTGGACACTGGGTATTTCTATATGTTTATTTCACAAGCTCTTTATTATAGTCATTGCGGTACAAGTTGTCATTACTACCAATTAGTGATGGTCTCCTATTGGCCAGACATTTGACATTGATTATGCCCGATCCTTATCGCAACCTTGAGAAGATATTCTTAGTTCCAGTTCACACGGAGAAATGAGGCATGGAAGGGTGCAGAAAGGCCAAAGATCAACCACCGGGAAATGGCAGAGCTAGGATCAGAATTCAGGTGTGCCAGTACATTCTAAAATCCAGGGATTTTCTCCCTTAAAACACTGTCTTTGTGTTCAGAGCACGGTGGTACTGACAAAGGCAGAAAGAGGAATAAGCTTAAGGAAGTCACAGTTGACTGGAGGGACAGAGGCACACATGAGTAAATAAATGAAACCGCTAAGTAGGACTAGAAGCGATGTTCTCTTGAAGTTCAGAGAAAGCAAAGTTCAATTCCTATCAGATCTCAGGGAAGTAGCATGTAAGATGGCGTTTCAGCTGTACATGGCAAAGAATGACGGAAGATAGTTTAGGCCAAGATGACAGCAAAAGCTAATAGACATGAAAAGGCACTTAGAATTTTGCTCAGTCTTTTAACGAAAGGCATCTGGAAGGTTGAGTGGTGTCAGAGGCTACCGTTATCCATATGGTCTGTGCTGCATTTGGAGAGGGTGAAAGCTTGGATTCCTAGCCCAAGGTCATTCCCCCACTCCTTTAAACTTCCTCTACCAGTTACCTGACCTGGCTCACAGGCTCAGCTTGTTCTACCGTGCATTTTTGTTGTTTGTGATGGACCTTTTTACTTTACTATGCCGTATGTGGGTTGGACTCAAGTTTGATTTACCAGGTGCAATGTTTTACAAAAATGAATGCTGGCTTTATTTTCTCTATTCTATGTACTGTAAGAATCTCTGCATCCCACACCTTGGGGGTTTGCAGCTCAGCCTCTCCTGAGCAGCTTCTTGGAGCCACCATTGCAAGTGTTTCACCCTGGTATAGGCTGTCATGTGTCCACCTAGACTCAGGTGCTGTCTATCCAGGGAGGGAGATGGGTGATGGCTACTGAAACCCTGGGTGTTCGCGTGACTTCCAAGATGGCCAAGGGTGCTGTTTCCCTAACTACATGGTAACCAAGAGGGCAGGATGAGTAAATGGCCCTTTCCTAGCTGATCTCAAATCCTTTCTTGCTTTCACTTGACTCGTAGGACACAGTGATTCAAGAACTTTACCAGATTCAAATTAAAGCAATTTCTTTGAACTCCAATTCGCATTAATTATTTTTAAATCTGTATTTAATTTTCAGTCATTTTATGGCTTAGGTTTCAACTTTTTTTCCCCTTTATTGTATCCTTGTTCTCACAATTTCTCTGAACCGCTGAGGACTTTGTCATCCTTTCTGTGTTCACTCCTTCACTTCCCTATATCTTTTGAGCCCCTGTTTGTACCACAGATGGTATTAGGGATAACTGATAGTGAGCACAGAGATGAAGTAGAAACGAAAAAGACAGTCAGTCAGTAATCCTGCCCTCCATTAGTTTATAATCTAATGGGAGAGAAAGACTCAGGTGTAGTGACTGTCATAATAGACATGTTCAGTCAGTAACCCTGTCCTCAATGAGTTTATAATCTAATGGGAGAGGCCCGAGTGTCGTAACTATCATACTAGACATAGTCAGTCAGTAATCCCGCCCTCCGTGAGCTTGTAGTATATTGGAGGGAATGACCTGTGTGAATGACTGTCTTACCAGGCATGACCTCAGAGTGTGAGGAGCGGGCTGGTGGCTCAAAGATGGGAAGAATGAACCCCGACCAGGATGTTTACTCTTCATTGCACCTCGATGCATTGCAAAATGTGGTGGCCCCCGCAGGATTGCAGGGGTTCAGAGATCTGGATGTGCTTTCCTGTGTTCCTCACACATTTATTTGCCCTTGCAGGCAGGAGGTGTCTGGATTAGGCACTTGTCCTCCTGTCCACCATATCTCAGTTAGTTCCGCAGTCTTTTGCAGCAGCTACTTTGATCTGCTAAACGAGTGAAACCTTTTGTTAATGCTTTGCATCTGTAGAGGTTTAAAGGCTATAAGGAGATAAATCTCTATGAAAATATAAATATCCCTAGTAGCATGCTATTAATGTCTTTTAAAAATGATTTTTAAAAATTAAGTTTGTTTATTGTTAAAAGAGGGAACAGGTTTAAAGATGTTTTAAAAAGTGTATCCCGGCTCTTTGGGAGGCCAAAGCAACAGGATTGCTTGAGCCTAGGAGTTAGGCACCAACCTGAGCAACCTAGACCTCATTTCTATAAAAAAAATAAGCCAGACATGGTGGTATGTACCTGTAGTCCCAGCTTCTTGGGAGACTGAGGCAGGAGAATTGCCCGAACCCAGGAGCCGGAGGCTGTGGTGAGTTGTGATTGTGTTACTACACTGCAGCCTGGGCAACAGACTGAGACCCGACACACAAACACACACACACACACACACACACACACACACACACACACACACACACACACACACACACACACACACACAGTATGCTAGAACTTGGTTAAAATAATTTTTCTAACTGGAAACCTTACTCAAAACTTGACTCCTGGTGGAAACAGGAATGCCTGTCTTGGCTCAAACAAACAAATAAACAAACAAAACCTTTTACAAACACAACACAAAACAAAAAAGTAGGCTTCTTCCCCCCAGGCTTCAAGCACTGAGACAAATATTCTACTCTCCCCGACTAGTTTGAGCAGCAGAGGAGAGAAGAGCCTCCTGCGAGCATGAGTGGCATTTGCCTCTATGTGTAAACTTGGGGAAGCCACAGCCTCTGCCCACTGCCACTGTGACATCAGCTTTTGCCAGCACCCCAGCCTCAGTTTACAGCAGGCTGAGCCCCAGCAGGGCTAGAGGAGTGGATGTCTCTGAGGTGAGCTTGGCTGCCAGGTCTCCTGCTTCTGCCCTTCAAAAACAACTTTCTTTTTCTTGTTCTAAAATAATATGTCGCCATGCTAGAAAATAATAATAATACAAATGAATTTTTAAATCATTCCTAATGTTGCCATGAAGACATGAGCACGGATACCCTGCACACATGCTGGCCTGCATCCTCTCAGGAAACAAAGGCCACAGAGGCTGGAAGCTCAGGCCTGGGTTGCCTCATGGGGACCTGGGAGAGGGCACTGGCCACAGGGAATCCTCCCCTCCTGGGCTTCAAATTCTCATGCTTATTTCCCACCTGAAGGATGGTTGGATAGTTCTATGCTCACTTGCACGTTTAAAAATTGATACCTAATTTTTTGTAAGCTTTAATGTGTTTGAGGAATAGGATTTCTGCATGGTGTACATATTGCCATATAAAAATAGAACTCTTACAATGCCCCTTCAAATGCATCCAAGGGACTTTAAATGCTATAACAATTTGATGCCACCATCACCTATTTTAAAAATAAGTGAACAACCTCTTCTTTAATATTCAGAATAGCTGCATCATTCCTTTTTCTCCTTTAGCTTGTATTTCTAGTCCGATTTCCGCCACAAGTGTGATTCCTGATGGTGCAGCCTTTTGCTGTGACTCCTATCATCACCTACACACACACACACACACACACACACACACACACACACACACACACATAACACATGTGTGCCTATATGAAAAGTATTCTGGAAAGAGTTACCCCTATATCTATTTATTAGCACATTTGACTAAAACTATATATACTAGGAATGTATTTTTAGTGATATTAATCATGTCCGCACTTTTGCTATATCTTTTATGAAAGAAGAAATATATATGAGTTGTTAAAAACTACTTGGTATGGGCACAGCGTGTTATTTTAGTCTTTGTTATTGGGACATATAAATTATTAAAGATTTTTTGGAATAAAATTAGAAAGGGGGCGATTGTGGTTGGAATAAATATATATTGATATGACTTGAGAACAGTTTTTCTGAGTTTTAAATACTGAATCTGAAAGAAACCACATAAGTTTTATCCGTGGGTTTTGACCAGTGTCCTGTGATTTGAATTCTAGAAATAATTCCAAGTCCCATTTGAAAGAGTTACTCTCGCTAGCCTTTTCTGCCTTGCCCGTTTGAGATGCTTTTTCTCCCTAACGAATGCTACACTTGAAAGATGAGTAATAAGAATAGTTTAAAGGAAAGACTAATATTGAAATCCATGGAAAAGCAATTTTGGGTACTTAGTATCCCCTGAGGATGGCTTCTTTGCTCTACTCCTTCGAGACAGTCACTCTGGAAGTGTGCATTCTTTGACAATTGTTGGCAAGTGAAAGGTGAAGATATTAAGAATGATCCTATATTCAGAATGATCCTCGTTTCTGTCGCCACACTGCACCATTCATCTGAATTCAGAGCACACCAACAGGAGCCAGTGGCATGGCGTTTCTATCATCACCAGGCTTTATCTTTAACAGAAAGGTGTTTTAAGGCAGGGAGAGACAACAAGCCCCTCAGGGTTCATGGTACCTGGCTTAATCATTAAAGGAGGATTCTCTCCTGTTTGGTACATGGGTGGATGAGAGTAGGGAATTATTTTGTAAAAGAGCAAAAGATCTATTTTCAAGGAAATCCTTTTTAAGGAAGTTGAGGCTCTGGAAATTGAGTCCCTTAAGATCATCAATGTTCTACAGCCCCCGGGAAAGCCTTCATGTACCTCTGTTTGAAGCCAACTAATCTGTTTATGACAGCCAGAGAATGAGAATTTTTATGACGATTTTGTCAGCTCCAATACACAGCTTTTCTAAGATCCTTCCAAATTCTCCCCTTCCATCATAACCTATAGTCTATTAGCAGAAGAGACCACAAACGTTGCTATTAGGTTTCTCAGGCAATTTCAGCCTGAGAATTTTCTTAGCCAAGCAGATTACTTG